TTCTATTCTATTCTATTCTATTCTATTCTATTCTATTCTATTCTATTTCTATTCTGAATGATAAGTGTGCATGTGTGAAAGTCTTGTTATAGTCTCAACATACAGTTCACATATTTTCAAGCAGAAGATGTAAGTATAACATTTGGACATTTGGTCTCAATTAAAAACAGGGAAAATCTGACCTCAAGGAAAATTACTGAAAATATCTGTTTGACTGTCCCTTTTATTCTTGGAGGGAAGTAAGTGGCATACTGTATAAATGTACTGTAACAAAGAAACAATACAAAAACACTAAACCATGCAGTTTAATTGGATTTCCATATACTATATGTCTCATATCTAGAGAAATAAAGCGTTCATATTTAAAATCTAAAAAGAAAATTGTGATCACAAAATCCATGTATCTTTACTTTAATTATACTTTTGTCTGAATGCTTCTAAACTGTACAATTAAAATAGAAAAGAATAAAAATATTCAAAGCCACACTCTGAAATTAACCTGTGCTTAAGTCTCAGCAGATTCATAAATGTTTTGAATATCCTTGAAAACATTTCTAATATAATCAACTCTCTCACCTGCAAAATAAAACGCTGCTTATATGCATGCTCTCGATCCATGATGGGAGAATGAGTGTTGACATGCATATTGAATATGCTAATTCTTTTTTTCAACTCCTCATACAACTCAGCCACCTAAAAATTGTAAAACTGTTTTAAAGTACATGAGAACCTAAAAAGTAAAGACGCATCTAAAGATAAAACACTTGTACAAAATAAATTCTCGTATATTTATGTCCTAGACCTTTGCTGATAATCTACCTAATAGTACCTAAGCACCAGACTGAATTTATCAAAAAGCAGCCATCTCATATTCTAATGCAGTGATGATCAACCTACCACATGGTGTCAAAAGTAACACACCATGAAGTTTTGGGTGACATGCCAGTGTTTACCTTCACTCAGTAACTATTCTCGAAAGCACGCCCCTTTCTTGCACAGATTTTGGAAGACAATGGGGTATGCTCTTGCGTGAAAGTCTGGACTCTCCAGAAGTCACAAAAGTGGTGCATGTTCTCACATAGCCTCTGAAAATTGCATGACAACAGGGCAGGCTTTCATGAAGTTTTCAGAGGCCATGGAAGAGCATTTTCCAAATATGGTCCAAGAGAAAAGGCCTCATACAACCCAGAGCAACCTCAGATATGTTGCAGGAGTCCGTCAACAGAAACAGAACACTGCCTGAGGGTAAACAATGCGTGACAGATCCTGGAGAGGACTGGGCCACAGGAACATTCATACTTTGGGGGATGGTGCAAGGCAGCCCTTTAGAGTGGCAACAGTGATGTTAGGCCTGAAATCAAGGCCTGGTCTTCCACTTCAGGCCTAGTCTCTATTCAGGGTAGCCTAGACCCGTGTGTGTGTGTGTGTGTGTGTGTGTGTGTGTGTGTGTGTGTGTGTGTGTTAAATAGAGAGTTATCTTTTGTTTGATGGGGGGGGGGGGCGTGGCATGCCAACAGATTCAACTTAGGCATTTTCCAAATTTTTGACACACTGAGCCCCAAAGGTTTCTTCATCACTATTCTACTGCCTCCCAGATGTGTTATGTTAGTAATTTCGAGAATTTCTAGCCAACATGGTGGCTAGGAACTCTGAGAATTCTTTCAAGAAGATCCTCAATTCTCAATGTGAATATGATTTGAAAGTTGGCTGTTGAATGCAATATGACTTTTGTGTGACAGAAATAAGGCAAAGCACCTACGGAAATTAACTGGCTGCTAAGAGAAAAGTTCAACACTGAACAGGAATAAATTATGTCCCCTATGCTATTTCATGCACTTTAGTTTAAAATAATTCAAAAATACTGGCTAGTGTATTGATTGAGGACATGAATAAGGGTACTTTTGTCTGTATCTCATGTGCGTTGTTAATTAAGATCATGAATGCATTGCAATGATATAGCTGAATGATTCAGAAAGGGACTTAGATTTAAATATTCAGTAAATGATCTGAATGATCTAAGTTTGATCTGAACAATGGAGTTGAAAATACATGGGAAAAAACTAGAGTCAGTAATTGAATTTGTGCATTTGGCAGAATGTTTACCAAAGATGCAGGATGGCGGAGACATTTTAATACATATAAAAGATGGCACAAACAGAGTAGGTAGCATGTGGCATGCTGTAAGAATTGTCAAAAGAAGCAAAAATATCTGCTTACAACAACATGCTTCTGCCCACTTTGTGATACAGAAATAATAAGACTATGAAAAGAAATAGAAAGTAAGTTGAAATGACTTGTAAACTGTTAGCCAACTCCATTATTAGAAGAGAAAGGGGAGATCAGGGGAACAAGAAACAGGGAATGTAGTAGATTAGAATATTACTCTACATTTTCTCTTTCAATCGGCTACCATTACAGAACTATACTAAATGCTACAGTAACTTTAGTGACAGAGGGTTCCTCAAAAATACCCATAAGCAGGCTAATTGCTTATAGCAGGAATATGCAGTTTTGTTAAGCAGTGTCATGTGATTTCAGGCAACAAATTGCGATTTTCCCTTTCTACTCCACTTTAATAGAATTTAACTGAGATAGTATATGACTGTTTGTCTGATACGAATGTATTTTATTTCTCTTGGGCGTGAATAAGTGTACCATTTCTCAGGAGAAAAGCTATTCTCAGAAACTAAAGGCAATAGGAAAGTAATTTTGCTTGGAAAGGAACATGGGTTCATGTTTGGGCACTAGCTTCAAATTTTTATATTCAAGAGAAGAAAATGAGAAGCTTATCTATTATATTTTTATTAATTAAATATGTTACAGACAGCAATGCTTATTATGCTAATCACTGTTTTATTATTTTATACTGATGTTGTTTTCCTATGTATTTTTACCACATACCTGTTTGCATGTACATAAATATGAGATTTAATAAAGATAAAAGGGGTTTCAGATTGTAAAAATATATTCCTTTTTTTATCTAATCAAATAGCTAAAGCACAGAACGCTACTAAGACTCACAAGGCACATAGGACAGCATTCCATGTATTCCTCTGAACTAATGAAATTAAATCATCTTTCTAAATGCAGTTAGAAAAAAAAAAGAATACAATCAAATTGGATGGATGAGAGGCGAAACTCCTGATAATACTGCTTTCCCTGGAACTCCGAGACACAAATGGCCAGATTTCAAGTGACTGGGTTTCTTTTAAAGCCTAAATCAGCCCATACGAGAGCAAGGAAAAATAGCCAGAAGTTTTTAACTGTGTGTTGAGGCACTGGGGAAAGATTTTCCCATCATTCTCTCCAAACCTGCTCTGTATGAACGAAAAAAAATCATGTCACCCGATCTCTCTTTGAGAGCTCTCTTATAGCATTCATAGTTTATTCTCCAAAGGTAATGTGAAAATTCCTTCCTCAAATAAAAATTTTAAAAGTATTTTTAATACTTTTCAGTGACACAGACAACACCCTGGGGATGCAGATCTGATTAATCTGGGCTGTCTTTATTTTTTTAAGTCATATGTGGAGAGCCAGGTCTTATATTTCCACTTTAAAGGCACCAGGTAGACACTGAGTCTTGCCTAGGCACTGGCTGGATGACTTTGGGCCTGTCATGTCTCTCAGCCCATATTACCTCTCAGGTCTTGTTGTGTGGGAAAAATGTGGGGAGGAAGAAGATATGTTAGATATGTTGAATTATTTATAAAAAATAATAGATGGGTTATAAATAACATGAAGTGGCACCATAGGCAAATTAAGCTTAAAAAAATTATAACCTATTGGGGGGGGGATTTCTAACCATAAGAAGTAAAATTTTACTAACCTGAAAAAACTTCGCAAAAATAAAAAGCCTATCTAAAATTTGGCACATCTACTACCAAATATTAGCGGTATAAACTGGAACCTGCAAAAATACAACTAGGGAGCTACAAAAAAATGTAAGGAGATGGCCAAGCAATCATTTTTATGATGTAATGGGAAGGGAAGAACAGTGAAACAGGCAAAGAGATTATCATATTCACCTCTCTCATTCTCTTGATGTGAATGTAGTTGGAACGGCCCCAGTCCACTTCATTCTGGAGGGGGAAACAAAAGAGTTAAAAATAACTAAAATTGTAAACAGAAGTTGAAAAAGCAACTTGCATAATCTCAACTGTTTTTGTTTCTGTGCCATGCCCTATTTTAAACCTACCAAGGTTTTGTTCCTGTAATCATTAGCAGCCTACCAGAACTATTCAGGCAGTTGAGCAAAGAGCAAACAATGAAGAATTTTTACTCTAGATACAGGTTCTTCCCTACCCACAGATTATGGTCATGTGAGAACACAAACTTCCATTCTTGTAACATGCAAGCACTCGATTTTTTAGTTGCAGGATATTTTATATGTGTAACCAGGATTCCAGAGGCAGGCTAAGTTGTGGTGTCAGACTCCCTTTAACTTCCAGTTAAATTCTTCTCTAGCCTACAAGCATTTCAGAAGGTGGGTCAAATCCAAGAGGGAGAAATCAAGAGAGCCCCAGCTCTCTACAATAATTACTGCTTAAATACACAAAATCTTAGAGAAATCTAGCAACTCAAATTCATGAATATGCAGAGTGGAATCAGTGCATCAGTACCCCAAAATAGTTTGGCAGCTTAGAAAAGCTTACCAACCATCTAATGGATTAAGACAGGACAGAAATATTCTAATAAACAAACATTTTAAGTGCTCCCATCTGATTAGCTGCTTTCTTTAAAACAAACATCCAAGGTAATATTCTGAATGCCAGAGTTATACCAATCTGTTCAAATACCAAAGTGCTGGATGAGAAACAATCTTGTCAATATGCACCAGATGCAAGAAAACTTTCTACATACAGCTGTTAGGATAAATGGTCTATTTGAGTATCAAGACTCATTTATGAGACACAGATTTGTGCATGCTAATCTCTTCTCCTACAATTGGATGGGTTTCCCTCGGTTTCTCCTAAATTCTAAATTTAGGACATTAATCCAACATCTTCAAAGATCAAATCAGCAATATTGAAAGATGCAGAACATCCATCCCACCACAGTGTATATAGAACATTTGATCAAGTAAATATCCAAGTTAACAAACAGATTACCAATGGAACTAACCTTTGGATGCCTAAGCTTTCCTTTTTGCCTGTTTTCTTGCCATTCCTAACAACGACAAAAGAAGTCATAATGTAATTTGTAATTGACCTTCATGCAGCATATTCCATGCACATTGATCCAAAATCCTATAGTCAAATAGCTTTGATTTTTATTACATGGAAAATATTTTATATTGCCTTTTAATTTAAAATTTTAAGGACAATTTGAAATAACTCATTCAATAGTTAGTAATCACTAATGGAAACGAAAAATAAATAAATGCAGGTAGTAACAAAAAAAAAAAAATCCCCAATTATGCCAGTAACATAAGATATAAAAGCAGGAACAAGGAAGATTAGTTACCTTAAATGCATTAATAATCGCAATACAATCACTACTGCTGTTCCCAGAAAATTGTAGCTTGTTCCTGCAGAGCAAGAAGAGGTCTAAAATACATGTATTGTTTTATATATTTTATACTATTTCTTTCTGTTTTGGCCAACCCTTTTATTCCATGAATTCAAAAAATATGTATGTAGCAAAACATATTTTATTTCTAAAATTATTTGCAGTTATATGAAAAAGGAAAAAAGTCAAGTCAATTTACACATAGTCTTCAGAAGCAGCATAAACAAAAAGTCTGCAAAGTATTTGGATCTGATGTGAAGGGCTTAAGAACATGCAGGAACAAGAACCCAGCACCTGTCTGAGATCATGGAAACTGATGTGAATGCTTTAAACAGTAGAAATCCTATTTCCATACATTTCAACATACTTCTACTAAACTGAATCGGAAGCACTGCACAGCCCTAGTTGTAGCAGCTGTTACAACTGCATAATGCTCCCTTGATTAACCTTATTTATTTGTATCCCATCTTTATTACTTTTACAAATAATTCATATGTATTGAACATATTTTCTCCAAAATAACAACTCTGTGAGGGAAGCTGGGCTGAGAGAGAGAGACTGGCCCAATGTCACCCAGCTGGCTTTCATGGCTAAGGCAGGACTAGAACTCACAATCTCTGGCTTTCTAACCTGGTGCCTTAAGCACTAGACCAAACTGGCTCCCTTCTGAAGAAAAAAGTGGGGTATAAACTTGCCTTCCACTTTTGGGTTGCTTTCCTTTAGTGAATGTTAAGATGTTTAGAACGTTGGAGCAAATTTCTTGAAAAATAATAGTATATATACACAAATATAAAATGAAGGATCAAATTTCAATAAATCAGATGGTGGCTTTAGAGAAAATACCTATATCCATCAAGATGTTGCTTGAAAGGTATTATAAAGAAACTGTTCAAAGAGAGGGCTGCAGCTGTAACAAAGAGAGAAAAAAATAGCATTTGCTAAAAATTGTATTTGCCCTTTTAATCACAAAAAGGCAGCAGACTCAAGTTTTATTTCCATGTACAAAACTTATATAATCTAATTATCAGTTGCAGGGTACTAATGGTGTATTTATATATGTATCCATTCCTCATTACATAAGTATCTTCCTTCCAGCATCATTGATTTTAACAATTTTATTTCATCAATTTCAGTACATTATTTTTAGGTGGCTCTTTGGCCATAGTCATGCATTTCTAAGTTTAAAGATCTGCCTCATTCTTACTTTTCTACTATGAACAGCTTGTAAGATATTACTAATCTAAGTTGAGAAAAATAGTATTTATACTCGCCTATTATAAGTGTTTCTTCCAGGCATCCAAAGACATGTCCAAGAACTATTAGTTTGCCTAGGTGATGATTCACAGGTAACTGTGCCAGCACTTTTCCCAGAAAGGTCAACTCACCATCGTAAGGATTTCTTTCTTCAAAATGATCGTTAATAGCAAGTGCCCCTAACTATTTCAAAACAAAAGCAATAATAATATTAATAGGAGACACAATCATGACTTTTAAGACTAATTTTTAGTATAAGCCAAAATGGCACTTGTAAAAAGCTTGGTAGCAAATGAAGTCAGGCTAGCACAATTTGTAGCCCATAGGGCAGGTACTGTATATATGAGTAATAACAAAACAGTAGACTTTTTTGTGATGCATGTGGTCTCATTCCCTGATTTCATTTTTAATTATTCAGAGACACCTCCCAAAACTGAATTCTGAGAATTAGTTATCCATGCTCAGCAGGTAGAACCATACTGGTTAGGTTGATTTACAGTGACATAACATATACAAATTACAAATATTACAGATTATTTAACTTTCCATCCTCCTATTAAGCAAACAGATGTCTTGGTTTTTCAAAAAACAAAAGGCATACTTAAAAAGAATTATAAAACACCCACCTCTTTAAGGTGCAGAATTGTGCGTTCAATATCACTGCTAACAGGAGGCGAGAGAGCGGTTGCTAACAGAGCTCTCGGTTCTCCCATGTCAAGCATCTTCACTTTCAGTACAGTAGTTTCCAATGGGCAACGCTAAAAGGATAAATAAAAGTTCTGTGTTTGACACTCTCCAATTCTGCAAGGATATTCTTGAGGTTTTTTTTTAACAGTAGTAGCTGGTAAAGCTAGTTGCTTTTATGCTATGCGCAACCTATAGGTAACAGAACAGAATAACAGAATTGGAAGGGACCTTGGAGGTCTTCCAGCCTAACTCCCTGCCCATGTAGACACAATGTCATATTTTTTACTCAATAAGAAATACTATCTTTTTCTAAAAGTGAATGTGAAAACTCTGAGAAGCATATGGGGGAGTTCAGCTGGTGTGAAAGAGGAAGCACAGATATTTAGAGCAGTCTAAGAAAATGTTTCAAGGAGACACTTAGTTGATTTGGGGTAAGGCTACCTGGAAACTTAAAATTTACAGTTTGCAAAATTTACAGTTTAGGTATTAATACTAATGAATAGTATTGAGCTGAGCAGCAAGTTGGAAGCCATGTAACTGGCAACGCAAGAGGTGAGACTGATACAACATTCTCTGTTCTTTTACTCACTTCCTTGCTACTGAATACAGAAAGTTTTGGCCAAAATCTCAGTCCCCCAACTGTATGTTCCAACAGTATGTGGCTTCCATCTTGCTGCTCAGATCCAAATGGACAACCACAACTATCCAAGCCCACACAAGAAAACGATCAAGAGAAAAATGCCACTTGTAAAAAGAATGGATTTTCTGACTCTACAAATGAACACTAAAGCAAAAGTTCATGCAGCCAAATAAAATCCCAAAACATTGGGAGCAGCACTTGAACACCAACAGCATTTACAAAATCATCACCAGTCAATTGCAAAAGGCAGCTTTTTTTTGGAACAGCTTACATCCTGCAGAAACAGCTCCTTCAAGTTACTTAACAATCTGTCCTTGAAATTACAACACACACCCAGTCACATTGTCACATTTCAGGCACTTGTTAACTGGCTCACATTTATTTAGTTATTTGTTAAATTTATTTGCCACCTATCTCACCATGGGGCTACTCTAGGCATCTTGCTCTAGGCGGATTTATGAGTAGTTGCAGTGTCCCATGGTCAAAAGAACATAATTTGTAACACTTTTTAGCTGGATTCTTGGGGTGGGGAATTAACTTAGGAGAATAGATTTGTTTAATGATCACGTGATTCACTGAAAGATCATGATGATTTGCTTTATGACCATTGTAAAAATTGTTGTACGATTGAGTCAGATCATGTGGTGCAGAGGTGGTATTGACTAGTTCCGGAGAACCAGTAGCGGAAATTTTGAATAGTGCTGAGAACCGGCAAATACCACCTCTGACTGGAGATCTTACAGTATCCTTCCCCTGCCACACCCACCGAGCCACGCCCAGAACTGGTAGTAAAAATATTTAAATCCCACCGAGTGGTGCCACACTTACTGAATATAATGACAGAAATTCTGAGTTCAATTGTGATTAAAAGAGGATTAGATTATGGCATCTTGGATTTTATATTGTTGTGTACATAATAATAATAAATGAAGGTTGTATGCTGTCTAATAACTGGATGGCAGAGTGGCATGAGATAACTTTGAAGTACTATCTAAAAAAAATTGAATTTTTTTTTTGAAAGATACATAGAGACACATACCTTTTTTCAGTCAATTTGTTATGAGTGAATTGTAAAAAAAGAATCAAGCAACAGCCAGAAAAAATATTTTTCTTTCTGAGTTGTCTATTGAATGTACCAGATTTAGGTAACAATTGTTTGCTGATGGCTTAATTATAGCTAAATACTTATTGATTGTTCCTAAGAATGTCAGAATCTAAAACTGTCCTTCCATCATCCTTTGACGTTTTATCAGTGAGTTCTCATCACTTCCTGCCATTGTTCTTAAACATAATGGCTATTTTTTGGTGGTCAGCAGAAATATAACTGGTCTTCCCACTCTAAAGTCATGCAAATGGGTGTGTGTTATTCTTACCACCATCTCAGGAACAGTGCTTTCCGGTATATAGTTTGCCCAGAAGTCTTTGTATACTAGTCTGTAGCAGTATCCTTTGGACACACGGCCAGCTCGACCTTTACATTAAAGAAAAATCTTCAGCACTTACAATTCAAAAGCTGAAATACCACTTACACTTATTAATGGCAGCAGGGACTAGTATTGAAACACACTGGTTGCCTGTTCACAATCAAAGCATCAGTATCTCAGTACAGGAATTATCTAAAGATTATTTTAGCCTAGTGCTGTGATTGCGAACCTATGGCACACGTGCCGGAAGTGGCACACAGAATCATTTCTGCTGGCACGTGAGCCGTCATCTGGAACAGATCTACTGCACATGCGTGCATGCCTCCCGCCAGCCAGCTGATTGTCAGATATCTAGCACGCATGCGCGGGGGTTGGGGTATGCATGGGAGACGCATGAGCATGCGCAGGGGGTGGGGCGCACGTGGGGGTCACGTGCATGCAAAGACGCACGGTGCACAGGGGTCACGCGCACATGCGCAGAGGTGCGTGGTGCATACAGGGGGGTTTACACATGCATGTGCAGGGGAGTCACATGCGCATTACATTATGGGTGCAGGCATGCGCACACGTGCGTGCACACACTTTCGGCACGCAACAACAAAAAGGTTAGCCATCACTGGCCTAGTGCAATGATGGAGAACCTCTTGGCTTCAGGGTTCTCAAAAATTGGGAAAATGCCTAATTTGACTAATTTGACTCTGCCTGTGTGTCATTAGCAAAACATTCCACAATGCAACAATGCAACTGTGAGATAATGATTTAAGATATATTGTTACAAGGGACACCTTTTTAAAATTTAATATAAGATAATTCTAATTAACATATTTTATAAATACCATTGCTCTTAATCATAAAATCTCTGTACTGCAAATGTAGAATTATAGAATCATTGAGTTGGAAGGGACCTTAAAGCTGTTTTTCTAGTCCAGCTCCTGGCCAGTGAATGAATCCTCACACCATCCTCGACAAATGGCTGTCTAACCTCTTCCCGGAATGGAACACCCCTGATTTCAAGGGGCAAGCTGCTCCATTGCTTAATAGCTTTCACTGACAGTTGTCTGAAGTGGAATAATATTACAATTGTACCAATCTTGGATAAAGATGTAATGATAGGGAAGTAACTTCCCCCCTCAATCCACCACATGCACACGTACATACAGTGAAGTTAATTTGCTCTGTCATTAAAAGTGGCATGGCCATCTAACCATCACTGCTTTTATTTCTGAAATACGTATGTGGTTACTTAAACCAGTGGTCCCCAATCTCTTTCACACCAGGGACTGGTTTTTGGAAAAGACCGTTTTACCACGGACCAAGAAGGGTGGAGGAGGGTGTATTGTGTGCTACCTAGATCCTGCGCATTTACAGATGAAGCTTCACTTGCTTCCATATCCTGGTTCCACAGCCTGGGGATCTGAGCCCCTAACTTAAAACAACCAGTAGGAAGAGCAAGCATGTATGTCTTAATTCAAACACATAATTGCAGATTAAGTTAATACTTTTACTGCACATATGTAAGACAGAGTTCACACATAAAATGTTTTCAGGATTAGGGTCTCCAAAAGACCTGGAATTTTATACAAGGAAATCCCCTTACCCATCCTCTGATCACAGCTGTTCTTGGATGCCCAACAAAGTCTCAAACTCTGATAGTTGGTATTTTCATCACAAACGAGATTTCTACTCAAACAAAAATCAATGACTGTACAATAAAAGCAAAAGATAAAAATAAGTGGAAAATATATTAGAACATTCTGAAGTACTTTAAAGAGAAATTAGATTCAATTCCATCTTGTGGGAACAAAACTTTTTTATGCAACCTGAGGTAACATAGTTCATGGTTCTCCCAACTCAGTTAAATGAAGGAGTGGAATCCTGAAATAACAGCATGGGATTATGAAGTAGCTATGGGGATAGGACAAATACTACCCTATTGTAGAATCTTTTCCTGCTAGAGTTACATTGCTTTTCCGGAAGCAGATAAATTAAGATAATGGTTTTAATTATATTACAATGTTATCTGAAATCCCTGGTGGCTTTCTGTAATTTAACTCAGGAGTATCTCTTGAATTGAGCAAGACTGTTTTTTAACTTTAATTAGAAGATTCCTTCCAATGACTTCTCTCCATTTAATACCTTTCCAAGTTTTATTTTTAGAAAGCAAAACCAATAATGAAAATGCACATAAAGGAAGCAGAAACCAAATGAGATACAAGTTAATGTTCTCACTATCCTGTTCCTGGGATTACAGAGGAAAAAGGTAGAAGAAACTATCTCATAAAGAAGATATAACATTGCCAGAGATACAATAGCTTTTTATTTCCACTCAATATTATCCTACAACTACAATATACTTTAAGTGAACAAAATAAAAGAGTAAAAGCACTACTCTGCCAGTAAGTGCAGAATATACACTGAATCTCCTGCTCAATATATATTCAAGGAAGGAAGGAAGGAAGGAACGGAGGGAGGGAGGGGAGGGGAGGGAGGGAGGGAGAATGAACTAGGTTTGGCAATAACCACAGAACTTTTACTTTGTCAAGTGAATATCAAAGAAATTGATGAGATTAACTACTCAAATATGTCACTGATTTCTAAGGCATATAGAATGCTATGTTTCTTTAACCTTAACTTCCTGAGTACAATTTCCTGATGCAAGAGTAAGGAATAACATCCCATGAAACTATTACTATTACCTGATTAAATGTCACTATTTCTGCACTGTTACATTAAGCATTCCTATTACTATGCAACATGTCGATTCTTTTTTTACCAGTGTGATCCTGTGTGGGCAGGGTTTAACTCACTATTTCAAAACTGAGTTCTCTTTATACAGCCATTATGATATGTTTTTATGGATGTGTGAAATTTTTTGTCTGTATAGTTTCTTTTATTTTTGTATTTTATATTTATTTTTAAATTATATAATTTTGCATTTTATTGTTTTCTCTCTTTTGCATATTACGGTAATCTAATAAAAATACCTAAAAATGCAAAATGTTAGAATATTTCATTTGCTGTAATTGGTCATTTTCTATTTTAAAAGTTTCAATTTCTAGCTCAATGTACTATTTATTATTTTTATGCGAGTTGAGTGTGGAAAACTCATCAAACCAAATTGGTTTTGAGTAAGACTGCCTGTAGCTGCTATGGGCTGAAAATGGTACATGAAAGTTTGCAACTGTTCTATATAGCCTTACCCTTTGCCTGCATGCAATAACTACCCCACATCTCTTCGCCTCTCTCTATAATTTCTACCCTTTCTTATCTCTGTGGTGTTTGCCAAAGATAAACATAAAAATTGAACGGGATAGATCAGAATAACTGAGTTGGAAAGGACCTTGGAGATCTTCTACTCCAACTCCCTGCCCAAGCAGGAAACCCATACCATTCCAGACAAATTGTTGTCCAATCTCTTCTTAAATGGAGCACTCACAACTTCTGAAAGCAAGCCATTCCACTAGTTAACTGTTCTAACTGTCAGGAAATTTCTTCTTAGTTCTATGTTTCTTCTCTCCTTCATTAGCTTCCATCCATTGTTTCTTATCTTGCCTTCTGGTGCTTTGGAAAATCGGTTGACCCCTCTTCTTTGTGGCAACCCCTCAGATATTGGAACACTGCTATCATGTCTACCCTAGTCTTTCTTTTCACTAGACTAAACAAACCCAATTCCTGCATTGCCTTTGATGTTTCAAAAAACAAATGAATCAAAACAAATTAAAATGCTATATTTAATTTAATTCAAAGAGTGATCATAAACAAATATCATTTAATAATTAGTAGTACTAATGACATTTTTCATCTTTTTTTGCACAAGTACAAGTTGACATAACAGAATTTGATTTTTGCACAGAACAGAAATTTTCTGAAAAGCAGCTGAGGGAGAAAGGTTGTAATAAAGTTGTAGTAACTGTGCCCTTCACTTTACAGAAACAGCATTTTTAAAAGTTATTTCTAAACAAAGATTTTTAAAGATTCTAATCACTCTTGAAGCCAGATTACAAAATAAAAGAACAAAATATGCACAAACTTTGTTTCTATAACATAAGAAACATACCTACCATATTTGACATCTGGTACTGTTACAGAGCTCTGTGCTATGTTTGTAGACAGAAGGATCTACAAGGAGGTTTTAAAATAAGATTTAAGACATTTTAAAATCTAAATGTTGACCTCATTTACAATAATCTCATGCAATTACAGACAGTGATGTATGTTCTTCTATTATATTATTTACGTGTTTATTAAATTTATATGCTGCCCATCTCACTGAGCAGTGACGCTCGGCGACTTACAAAATGTAATTATACATTCTGCTTCTCCAAATCTAAATGGAACCCAAATAAAAATAAAAACTCATTTTTTCTTTAAAATATCCAACAAAACTATTGTATTTAAAATGTAAAAATATTGATATTTTGCACTCGGGGGATCAGGAATAAAATGTCAAATTTTAATGAATTTCATTCATCGTCTGCCATCCATCCATCCATCAATCCACCTCTTCCTTTTCTTCAGCAATATTTTACTATAAGCATTTTTTTATTCAGCTAATGATGCCTATTCATCCCACCCTCCACCTTCAAAATAAGAAATCACAGTACTAACTCCCTAATTAAAAACTCACTTTTCGATAACCAGGAACTGGCGCCAAAAACACATTATTCTGTTCTTCTAATGTGACACTGGAGTGGAGTGGATATACTTGTAACCTAAAAAAGTCATTTGAGAAACTGTACAAAGGAACATGTAGAAAGATGTACATTTTCCCCGGGTTGGGTTCAAAACAACATATTTGAAATTGTCAACAAATTCCTTAGAAATATATACTGGAAATAAAACAGTACTTCAACCACTCTTGTTTCCTATGTTTCAGTGATCTTTATAGATGATTTATGACTTAACCTGTTACGTGAGAACATAGCAAATTGTAGTTATTTTTTAAAACATTGTTAAAACTGATGGCATCTCAATGTATTAACACAGTCAATAAATGTGCTACTGTTTAATTCCATCTAAAAAGGACAAAAAATGTAATCATCTAGCGGAAAGAAAAAGGCATTGAGCCATGCAGCCAAAGAGAAACCAGCTCATTCTGGCACTTCAATCCATCACTCTGAAAATTCCTTCCCCTCCTATTTTACTCTGTATGCTTAAGGGGCTGTGCAAAAGAAGAAAAACAAATGGAGAACCCCACAAAAAGCTTTCAGCTACAGAAATGGAGAAAAACAAAAAGCAGAAAAGGCAGGCAGGGAGTGGACAGGAAATTCGTAACTCCGAACCACAAACTGAAGTTGTCTGCAAATAACTAGTTGTGAGTTGCATGAATGGGGGGGGGGGGGGGAGTGTGAATGAGGTTGTACACCCAAGGATCATATAATACCCAGTCCTTTAATATTTCAAAGTCCATTCATCAGGGCTTTGGCCCACACCCGATGCTTTAACAGTGCTTCTAATCAATAATCTTTAAAAGAATATGCTCCTTGACATATCAAAGTCCATTATGCTTCCATTTCTTGCATCTCAACTCATCTAGCAATGAGATGAATTAACATACCAACAGCACACTATTCCTCTCATGCTATTTGCATACCTCAAAATCCTCCTCCTTTTTAAAAACCTCCATACACTTGCAGGTATATTCTGTGCTACCACGTCAAACTCTGTCTTCATCAGTTACTTCAGCCTTACCCCATTCATAGTGCATTGTCACAGAAACGGCACTCAGCAAGACCTGTGTGACTTTATAGAATGTCTGGCACAGAAAATAATTGGTCTTACCTCCTGTGAACCATGTTTGTGAGAAGCTCAAGCAAATAAGTTATTTCCGCCAAACCTGACGAGTAAAAAAATAAAAGGTAATGATGCTTGTTTCCTCTAAATGAAAAAAATAATGTAAAATTATTAAAATTTAGAAGTTTCTTCAGTTGAAATAGCTACCTTAGCATCTTTGATTCCAGCTTAGATGATGGGTTAATGTTCTCATTTTTAGTCATCATACTTATTAGGTGTGTAATTAGTTAATTAATAAGTAATTATGCTAGCTTATTATATCAAAGGTCAAAAACAAGCAAAAGAGTTAGCTGAAATTGTTGTCTGAACACAGCTAATTGTAATTAATTTAGTAAAGTAGGTTAAATATGTGAACCAAGTTAAAATGTGGCATTTCATCCTCCAGTTTACCATTAAGCCTGGTAGTAAACATATCACAAACTGATTTTTCTCAAAGCCATAGTCCCTAAAAGAAGGCAGTCGGGCTTCATTGACCAAGTACTGATCAAAAACAGGTAATTTCCCTAAATCTGGCCAATCCACAAGCTTTATAGTACCTGTCAAAGGCAAGGACTTTCCCCCCCAAAATGCACTTAATCTATCATATTGTAAATCATCAGGCTAGGCTCCTAATCTAAGGAAAGTCTCCTCAATTCAGCCATAAGTGTCCCCAAGATGGAGCACATGGCGTGCAAAATGTTCCCACCACCTTCAATCACTGGCATCTCCCATGTGTTTTCCTTTAAAAATATTCACCTAATAATGGTGGGCCTAGCTTGTTCAGACTGGTGGGTGCCCTCACCAATGGCCATCTGAAGATGTAGTAGCCACATTCATTTTCATTGACTAAGAAAACTTTCATGGACTATTTGGGTCATACTTGGAAGTAAAGATATTATTTTATCTCATGCCAGCTTTCCATCTTTTTAATTGAGAAGTTTTAAAATGCAAAAATCAAGCAGGACAGGAACGCTAACAGATTTTTAGAATGTACTTAGTTCACAGTAGAGATCACAAATGGAGCAGGATACCGGGGAAATTTATGTTTAAGTCTTTGTAGGTTGCTTAAGTCACTGCCAAGTTACTTTAGATAACTGGTTTAGAATAAGAAATACTCCTATTTGCCGTAACACTTATTTCAAAGTCCTCATCAGTCAACTCATGCCTTGGTCACCTCATGACTTGACTATTGCAATGTCTTTCACAGAGGGTTGCCCCTGAAAACTATCAGGAGCTTCAACTGACCCAGAATATAGAACCACCCACAGTGATGGGAATGCCTCAGTATGTCCATGTAATACCTCTGCTTCATGAACCAGTTGCCAATTTGCTTCCAGGTGTAATTCATGGTGCTGGTCTCTACCTATAAAGTCCTACATGGTATAGTGCCTGATTATTTGAGGGATAGTGCCGCGTCGATCCCATTTGGCAGGATTGGCACATTCCAGATTCCTTCACTTAAAGAATGCCATATAACAGGAATCTAGAAAGGCAGCTTCTTTGTAGCAGCGCCTACCCTCTGGAATGTGGGTAGATTTAAATAGCCCTCACCCTATTAATGGCTCTGAAAGACCCTGAAGATCTGGTTCTTAGGCTAAGCTTTTGACAAGTTTGATTGAAGCCCCCTTTTCTTCGTTTTCTTTATTCTCATCTGGATTTGCTGTAACTGACATCTTTATTCCTTTTTGTTTTCTTTCCCTTTTTTTAAATGGTTAAACAATTTGTTGATTGCCCAGAGACTCTGGGAGTCAGGTAACATAATATGCAAAAGAAAAGGTTGATATTTTTCCCCCAGTTAAAAAACCAGTGCTCACATATTAAAAAAATAACAAAAAATAAAACTCACCTGGTAAAAATACTAGCACACTGCCACGGTCTGACACAAACTCCAAATTGCGATCCCTAATATTAGAAACACAGTTTTTGTCTTAGTTTACATCAAAGCAAATATTATTTCCTCCGAAGACCATTGGAGGACCATATATGCTTAAAGACTGACTAGCGCACTTTTTCTAGCACATTTCCAACCCAGTCTTTTAATATGTGGACATCTATTCCCAGAAATCCCAAGCCAGACTACTGAGAATTCTGGGAACTGAATTCTGGAAATCGCCATGATTAGGAAAGATGAGTTAACTGGGTAAACAGATCTAACTATTCACAAAGACTTACTTAAAGGTAGGCTTGTAGTAAATATATACAGACAGGGGAAGCTAAAAGCTAATTATTCACTTATGCAATATTTAATTTGAAATAAACTGGAGTTATGTAACAAGCTTTTGCAATATGAGCCTTTCCCGTGGGAAAGGGGAAGCTTTCCTAGGTGAAGGGCCTAAAGTAATATTATTGGATTCTTAGTGTATTCTAACTTTGTTTTACTGTGGAATCCTTGGTGCTCAGTTTCATTATTAATAATTATTTTTGCTTATTATAACAGAGCAAAGTTCAAAATCAAGCAAAAGAGATGGCTGGGTTTGTTGCCTGAACACAGCTAATTGTAATTAATTTAGCAAACTAGGTTAAAGATGTGATCTAAGTTACAATGATGTCTGCATTTCAATCAGTATCTTAGAATTTAGCACAACTTAAAATGCCGTTAGTTTCCCTTAAATAGTGGTTGAATTTGTCTATGTATTGAGAGATTAAGGATTTTTAATGTATTTTGACTGCCAGTTGATGTTCATGGATACATTCTGTCAATCTGCTCCATTTGTCCTACATAGTGACTGTTATTCCCTTTACATTACATGTTGTAGAGCAGTGATCCCCAGCCTTTTTTATGCCGCGGCCCGGTACCGGCATCAGCTGGGCGCCGCGGCCCGGTACCGGCATCAGCTGGGCGCCGCCATCTTTTTTTGATGAAAAAGTGCTTCCGGTGAGGTCACCGGAAGCACTTTTTCATCAAAAAAAGATGGCGGCGCCCAGCAACCAGCGGCCCGGTAGGACTTGTTCCGCGGACCGGTACCGGTCCCCGGACCGGTGGTTGGGGACCCCTGTTGTAGAGAACTTCTGCTTTCTGTTGTTGTTTGGTTATTGAGGCTTCGATTTTGTTTAAGATGCTTTGGAAGGATTTTGTTGATATGTGTGCAACGGTGATGCTCAAAGGTTGAAATAGTCTGGATTGTATCATATGTTTTTGCTGTTTGCGAGAGTTATCCTTTTCATAATTTATGATATGTCATATAATTGGGAATTTTTAATGAGGTTGTATTTATATCTGTTATATTGCAAAACACTGTATAGCTAATGTGCTTCTTTGTGGTACCACTAAAAATGGAATCACCAGGATGATGTACATGGGAAGGGGAGGACAACATTTTAATTCCTTTTTGGTACCTTTAACATTAGGAATAGGAATAGGAAAGAAAAGCTAGCTTGCTCAAGTGATTGGGGTAGATTTGAAGTTGGGAAACCATGAGTTCTAGTTTTGCTGGAGGCATGGAAGATGGATGGGCAAGCTAACTTAATTATTTTCTCTCAGCTCTAGGAAGAAGGCACTGGCAAGCCACTTTCAAAAAATATTGCACAAACACTTGCAACTTGCCCCTGGAGTTACCAGAGGTCAGAGCCGACTAAGGGAAACTATGAAAGACCATCTATTGAATTACCATTTCCATTTTTAAAAATCTTCCCAACTCTTCTTATCCTCCCAAAATAGCCTGAATCATCCTGAAAAATTCAAGATCAAAATGCCCCAAATTTGGAAGGCTATTTTTCTACCTTATATACATGTACATGTACGTGTGTGTGTACACACACATACACGCATGTATTTATTTATTTATGATGGCCCATGAGATAGTTTTGTTCTGCAAACTGCATTCTAAACTCATCTTTAAAAAGAACTCACACCTGCCACTGAAAATCAGCCACTTTCCTAATGAATTTTATGTGCCACATCCTGAGAAAGAGTGGCATATGAAAAGTCAGAAACAGTTTATTAGTTGTTCACCTTTAAATTCTTGTAAAGCTATTTTAGACCCTTGATAGGCAACCCAGGGTACACAATGGAAAGAATGTGATGATCCCAGTTGAAAACTAAATTTGATTAAATTTAAATTTAATTTGATAAATTAAAAGTATTCAGTGTGATTTTATCCTTCATATATTTTTCTCTACTGTCACTTCAAAAAGTACAAGTCAGAGCAACTTTTGGATGGGAGCTTCAGGTTTTCAGCAGTTAAGTCTACCTGTTTTAGATCATGATATTTTATATATAATACACATAGTTATGCACTGAATATAACAATTAAGATCAACAAAATAGCACTGTGGTTTTAGACAAACTCTAGATTGAAAAACAAATGGAAACCTTTAATTTGTGCAAGTGTGCTTTACGAATTATACATCTTTACGATATTCGGCTAAATGCATACATGCTTTCCCCTAACACTGACATAGATTCTTGCCATAGTTAACATAAATCCAATCCTATAGCACTGTATTCTCATTTAAAACTTGGATGACTCTGAAGTCGATTCCAAAGACAATCTACTATACCTTAAGAACAAAATGCTATATATTGCATACTTGGATTTTTTTCTTCCCTTCTACTTTCCCAACATGCCCTCTTCCTACTCCAATTTGTTTTTAATCGTTTTTTCCTCCTAGGCAATTAAGGTATCTTGTCTTGCTCCCAAAAATTAATACAGAGATTCATCCACTCACTGTTTCAAAGAAATAACTATGTGGAGCCTAGAGACATTTGTGCAAATGAAGATGAAATCAGAAGCTGGTATTTTGCTTTACAGCATGTCAACATCTCATTTAACATTTTCGTAAATTAAAATGATTTTTAAAAATAAAAGCAGGCAGTGTGGGGAGTCATCCATAAGCACATTTGATTGCCTATCCCTGCCTGAGGAATAGAAGAACTCTTTTATAAACTCAGATTATTTTTACATCTAAATGAGCATTTTCTGTAATGGCTTGCCATGTTGTATTTCATAATACTCAACCCGATCTTAACGGGAGGAACCACAGGCTTCCAAACAAGCAACATTCTTCATACATATTAGGCATTATTTTATCTATTACCTTCCTCTTAAAACAAGTGATTGATGGCTCCTTCAAAATTGGTCAAATTTGCACTTTTTAGGGAGTTTTACATGGTAATCCCCTGCAGTTACCCGAATAGCAAGCTAATAAATTAACTGTACTTTGAGTCTTCTTTTAATAAAATTCCAAACTCCTTCCTGTGGATTTTATTGGACTTGTATCCTATTGCATCATGTAACTCTCACCATCAAATTAATACTACTGAACAATATATTTCTTGTTAGAACTTATTTCTTGAGTTTCTCAAACTGAATCTTTGTGAGCTGCATAAGAACAAAGAAAACTAGAACAAAAAAATGGCCTCATCCATGTGGAAGGCATGAACATAAAGTCCATGTGGAAGGCCTGAACATAAGATTTCCCTAAATGGACAAATGGTCTATCTTAGCATGAAGTTATTTTCTATATTACATTTAATCCAAATCTAGTTCATTTCCATATAGTTTCCTTACATGAATGAGATTCGACAAAAAAACAAGGTTTTAAGTATCGCGATTAATTGAAGGTGGATTTTATTTTGATAATTTAAAGTCAGAGACCCAACAGAGAGAAGATGGTTCAGGGAAGCCTTATGATAATTATTTGAAAAAGACCTTGTATTTTCATAATGCAGAGTAATTATCTGTTTTAAAAAATTCCATCAATTATTTTCTTGCTGCAGTGCAATATAATGAGGTTTTAAAAGTACATTGTATCAAATTTGTCTTTTTGAAAGTTATATTTGACAGTAAATCTTAGTAACACTACCAAAATCTCAGCTGTACACAATCTAAAGTACAAAAAGGCCAGATTAAATACACTGCTCAAAAAAATAAAGGGAACACTTAAACAACAAAATGTAACTTCAAGTCAATCACACTTCTGTGAAATCAAACTGTCCACTTAGGTAGCAACACTGATTGACAAGCAATTTCACATGCTGTTGTGCAAATGGAATAGACAACAGGTGGAAAGCATAGGCAAGACATCCCCAATAAAGGAGTGGTTCTGCAGGTGGTGACCACAGACCACTTCTCAGTTCCTATACTTTCTGGCTGATGGTTTGGTCACTTTTGAATGCTGGCAGTGCTTTCACTCTAGTGGTAGTATGAGACGGATTCTACAACCCACACAAGTGGCTCAGGTAGTGCAGCTCATCCAGGATGGCACATCAATGCGAGCTGTGGCAAGAAGGTTTGCTGTGTCTGTCAGCGTAATGTCCAGAGCATGGATGCCCTACCAGGAGACAGGCCAGTACATCAGGAGATGTGGAGGAGGCCGTAGGAGGGCAACAACCCAGCATCAGGACTGCTACCTCCACCTTTGTGCAAGGAGGGACAGGAGGAGCACTGCCAGAGCCCTGCAAAACTGACCTCCAGTGGGCCACAAATGTGCTCAAACGATTTGTTTGGATGGCTGTCAAGTGAAGAGATCCAGCAGAGAATCATCCCCAGAGAAAAATCATCCAGATGCCCGAAGCTCTATGGCCTCCCCAAGATACACAAAGACGGAATACCACTCAGACCGATAGTCAGCTCCATAGGCTCACCTCTACAGAATCTTGCCAAATTTCTCGCCTCCAGCCCTACACAGAATCCATCACCTCACACGTACAAAACTCCTTCCACTTCATAGAAACAATAAAGAAGCAAAACCTACAACCCAGTGACCTATTTGTGAGCTTCGATGTCATATCCCTCTTCACCCAAGTACCCATCAAAGAAGCCCTGACAGCCATCCAAAACAAATACAACCCCCCCAAACACATCTTAGATCTGACCAACCACTGCCTAACCAACACATACTTCATCCACAATGGACAAAAATACAAACAGATAGAAGGAGCACCCATGGGATCACCCCTCTCACCCGTCATCGCTAACCTATACATGGAACACTTTGAAACCAACGCTCTAGACAAATCCAAACACAAACACAAACTTTGGCTCAGATATGTAGATGACACTTTCGTAATTTGGCCACACGGGAAAGAAAAACTGGACAACTTCCTCACACATCTTAATAACCTACACCCCAAAATACAATTCACCATGGAAACAGAAACCAACTTCCCTTCCTGGATGTCCTAATTTACAAAAAATGAAATGGCTCCCTAGGACACACCATCTACCGGAAAAAACACACACACCAACCGCTACTTAAATGCACAATCCCATCACCACCCTGCACAGATCAACTCCATAGCCAAGACCCTCATCTCCAGAACCAAACACCTAGCTGACAAAGACCACCTGAGAACAGAACTACACACCCTCACTAATGTATTAATTTCCAACGGATTCCAAAGAAACACTATCACCAATCTAATCCGAAAAGAGATACCCCCAAAAATCCAAGACACAGAACAAGACAACAGTATCGCACTCCTCCCCTACATCAAAGGCACCACAGACAAAATCAGCAAAATTCTCCACAAACACAATATCAGGACAGCTTTTGGCACTGACCAAAAGATAGCCAACATCCTAAGAAACCCCAAAGACAAGATCCAGCTAGAAAACCAAGGAGTTTATGAAATACCATGCAACAATTGCCCAGCCACATACATTGGACAAACCAACAGGAGAATAAATGCATGCATTGCAGAACACAAAAACGCAGTCAGAAGAGAAGAAAATACTTCCCCCCTCTTCCAGCACCTTAAAGCCACAGGACATGAAATTAATTTCGAAGGAACCAAATTAATATCCAACACTGAACACTCCAGCAAGAGAATAATCAGGGAAGCCATCGAGATAGAGAAACACCCCCATAACATGAATAGATGGGACGATATCTCCCGCCTACCAGACATCTGGAAACTAGCCCTCACCAACAAACGAGTCCCAGCCACGAAAACCAACACCAGACCCAAAACAACACGGGACACCACCGCCAATCCCCCTCATCAGACCCAGGCCCAAGCCCATCCTATAAACGAAAGACAACCACCATCCAGAAAACAGACCACGGCTGCTTCGCCAGCTGTCGCACCCCCAACCCCAAAACCAAACAAGCTGACACACGCCAAGAACACAGACCCAGACCCCAAACTCGAAGCCAGACTAAAACCCAGAATGCTACATCACAGCCACCCGCTCAGGACATCACATCAGAAAACTCAGGAAATTACACCATAAGAACTCAAGAAGTTGCAACACAGCAAATGACCCAGGATATCACAGTACAAGACCAAGGATACCACAGCAATAAATCTCACAAGGTCATCACACAACCCATTACCCAAGCCGTTACTACACAGGAGGCTAATGGAAAAGAGATCAAAACACAAACGACCCAGGAGATTACAACGCAGGACCCAGGATACCACAACAAAAGAACTCGCAAGCCCATCACACAACCCATTACCCAAGCCGTTAAAACATGAGAGGCTAATGGAAAAAAAGATCACTACAAAACAAACTACCCAGGAGATTACAGAACAAGATCCAGGATATCTCCACAACAAAACTCACAAGGCCATCACACAGCCCATTATACCAACATCAACTCCATCAACCAATCAAGAGGCAGCAGCACAGCCAACCAGCCCAGCACCCCAGCCCCCACCACCAGTATTTATAGAGAGATGGCAGCTCTGATCACACACTGCTTGCACTCCATACATGAGACAAATCTTTATATAGGTGCAATCTCCTGTTGTGAAAAGAATGCTCTTAAGCCAAGGATATATTACTTTAAATAACCAACCCATCAAGAAATTGGGGTTCAATCTTTCTTATTGACACCTAATAACAAAACATTAAAACAAAATCAAGGGATACTTCTGTCAACTCTCTACAAGGTTCTACAACATTCCAAGACTTGTTGGATAGGAGATGCCACTGTGAGGATCATTTCATTGGTCTGTGATGAGTCGACAGAGCTTGGAGGAGTGGAGAACACAGAGTCCAAGAGCCACATGCAGCCCGAAATTCTTTATATGTGGTCCTTCAGAATTCTCTAATATCATATTGAAATTGACCAGCATGCCAGAAAAGAGCTCATTCCTCAGTAAGCGCTAAATTCAAAAGTGCTCTATTCAAAAGCGCTCAACGATCTGTGACTCGACCCATCCTTACTAGAAGGTAAGGCAGTGAGACAGTGAGATTCATCCCATCCTTGCAGGGCAGTGAGCACCAGGAGCTGTAAGTCGGTCTTCAGACATTTGCAGCCAGGGTGTGAAGCAGACTGCTTTCCCCCTGCCGCCCCTCCTTCCCTCTTCCTTCTTCACCAAATTGCTAATCCATACTCCCTCTTTAAAAGGACAGTAACTTAGTTTTGTTATAACTGAATTCCTGTGAAGATTGGAAGCAATTTTATTTCCTGTGATAGAAGCAGAAGTATATTGAAGCCAGGAGCGAATGCTCAATACAAATCTGAGTCTACATAGTAAAAATATAAACTGTTTGAATTGCCAGTACAAGACTATCTACGTGCCTCTTTCTCTTAAAGCAACAAACTTTGAAAGTGTATTTAATTAACTAGGAGGGGGCCTGAAATCCCATTCATCAAAGGAAAACAAAAACAAAAAGTTTCCTGTTGCCTCTCTGTGAATTGTTCTGTTTATCTCTGCTGAAGAAGGGGCCAGAGATTCCCACCCTTCAGCATCTTTGCATCTTTACTATCTCAAAAACTCAATCTACAAAACAAGAAAGAGTGTAAACCCTTGCTCACTGATTGTTTTCAAGAGGAAAGAGTGTTTGACACAAAGAAACTGCTGTTTCTCCAGCCCAGGAAAAGAGGCCTCCTGCCAGTTTATTAGAGGTTATAAACCTATTGTCAGATATCAGCAACAGCTAAGCAAAGCAAACTTACTGACTCTCAATAATACTTCATTACTTTCAGTATCTCAAAACTTATTAACTTTCTACCTCAAGACCTATATCAAAGATTAGATAATGATATCTCCAAATCAATTTCTTTAAAATAATTAATTTTATCAAATGATTAATTGATTTATTGTTTTTATTGATTAGTATGATTGAGTGTTTAGTGCATATAGTATAATTACAGAATATCTGATTAGTAAAATCAGTGATTTAGTGAATTTAATTGACCAGTGTGTTTAGTAATTACTGTAATAAATTAGGCTGTTGCTTAGCAAAATTATTTGATTAGAGTGATTTGAATAACCAATTGATTGATTGATTGATTTTTAGTAATAAGTAACCTTACTTTTGATTTGTTCTCTAATATATCAATTAACATTTATTAATTACCAACATTCATTAAGTAACTGTCTACCTATCACATTAACTAGCTATTGTAATTGATTACTGTACTATTGCCATTGACCATGCCAGCCAAAAACTCCAAACCAAACAAAAGAAAAATATATCTACTAATGACCTCCGAGACTCCTGCACATGTTTCAGATGTCTTGAAACCATCAATGAAAGCGAAATTTACATCAAATGCCGCCTATGCGACAATCTAGCCCACCCTGCCTGCTTAAATGCAAACAAAAGCCTAGCTGATATGGTTAAAAATTCAGATACATTCTTTTATCTATGTCCATCATGTTCTCCTAAACTAAACAGAGTACCCTACCTGACAGAGTTGAAAGCATAGAATCACTCATTAGAAGAACGCTTAGGAACATGTTTTGAAACAACTGTACAAGAAAGCCTAATTTCTCTTGAAAAAAAAATACAGCAGAGATAAGTGAGTACCTATCAGCTCAAAATCAAATCCCACAACAACCACAACCTCAACTACAATCACAACTACAACCAAAATAACCACCAAACCACAGCCATAAAGAATTACTATCCCTTCAAATAATTCCACAAATATCTCCTTACTCATCAGAGACACCATGGAACGTAAACAGAAACGTCCAAATGCCATCTTATTTGGTTTCGAAGACACCAATGAATCAGACGACATCACCAAAGTTCGCGATATCATAAGCAACTCAAATACAACAAACATCTCTCCTCAAGATATCATTGAAATAACCAGAGATGGCCCTGGGTACAAATACAATGACAGCTCTATGGCCCCAAGATTTTGTAGAGTTGTATGCAAAAATGAGTCCAGCAAACGCATATTCATACAATAAACGCCATTGCAAAAACCAACCCCAACCACAAAAAACTTCGCTCAAGACCAGACTTATCCATACTGCAAAGAATCGGCTCCCGTGAACTCCGCGAAGAACTCAAAAACCGTCTAGACAATGGAGAAAAGGATCTATACATCCAACCCCACACCATCCAATCCAACATCACTCAAAACTAGGCATGCACACCCCTAACTACCTCTATTCCAACCACAACTGGCCTTAAATGCAAGCTACTCAATGCAAGAAGCCTTGGAAATAAAATACCTCAATTTCTCCTCTTACTAAATATGGCTAATTCGACATTATATTTGTCTGTGAAACATGGCTCAACGCATCTTTCCCTGATTCCATTACCACAGTAAGAGACTATCATGTTTACCGATCAGATCGTGAAATCCATAGAGAAGGTGGTTTTGCTATCTTCTATAAAAAGTCCTTACATCTAAAAAACGTCCAAGTTCTCCAGAAGCTTGCTATTCCTGAGACCATCATCTGTGAACTGTCCTTAAATATCATATTTTGGTTCTTACTATGTTACAGAGCACCTGATTATGACATCGAACATGCAAACAAGCTAAATACACTACTAACATGGGCAACATCCTGCCCACACGCGTTTATCTTTCTTGGTGGCTTCAATTTATCTCATATTAACTGGACCCCTAATGAATGTACAACTGAACCCATACATGCAACCTTCTACAATGCAGTAACAAATCTGGGACTAGAACAACTAGTAACCAACAACACTAGACTTAACAACTGCCTCGATCTCATCTTCTGCAATAGTTTGAATTCAATTTACAGAATACAAATTAAAGAACCCTTTTCCAACAGTGACCACAACATAAGACTTTTGTCTCAACATACGTCCACACAAAAATCATCACAATGACGGAATCCCCAATTATAACTTCAAAAAAGGCAACTATGATCTTATCTCTCATCCCTTGATTGGCAATTTCTATTCACTGGATGCAATACTGTAGAAGACCATTACAACATATTTTTACTTGAAGCGACCTCGGCTCGCGTTGTTTTCTGAGCCCGCGAGCCTAGAGCCAGGGCGCTTTCATTGCACGACGGAGCTTCTTGTCTCGGGAAACACCGGGCGTCCTTGCTGCCCCCTGAGGGGAGGGCGATTCTGGGCTGCGCGGTTGGGGGACTTCGTGGCTTTGGGTGGGAGCAAGGACGGATGGAGTCCGCGAAGTGGGGCTTGCCTGCCCTTGCTGGCTGCCTCTGCTTCCTTAGAGGCGGGGAAGGGGGCTCATCTGGACCAAGGGTGAGTCTCCCCCTCAGTTTCCCCTTAAGGATCTTCCGTCGCTTTTGCCTTCTCCCTACATCTTCCCTCTGTTAATAATCCCCCCCTCCCCACACACATTTTCGGGCGGATAGATTTCGTGTCTGAGCATTCTCACATCGCGGTGGGTCTTCTCCCCCCCCCCTAAAAACAGTTAAAAAAAGAAAAAACAATATATCCTCATGCAAGAAATTTTCTGCTTCCGATTACCCCCATGCTTAAAAGTTGCAAAGGAAACATGGAAGCAGGGAAGCGGCTGCCCAGCTCCGGAGCTCCACACCATTTTTTTTTCAGAGGGGAATCTGACTCGAGTATAAGCTGAGGGGTTTTTTTTCAGCACAAAAAATGGGCTGAAAAACTCGGCTTATACTCGAGTATATACGGTAAATATAATTATTTGAATTGAGATGAGATAATTAAAATAAAATTGAGAAAATTAAAGAGGGGAGAAGCTATGTAGAAAATGTAAAACAGTAATAAGATATGGAATAGAACATAAAAATGAGCATGAAATTGAATTTGTGTCTGTACGAAGAAATGTAACCCGGGATTACGCTACTTTCAAAAAAGATGTTTTATTTGTATTTTTTTGTGAAAACTCAAATAAAATTTACAAAAAAAAAAAAAAAAAAAAGGTCCATCCCACCCCTGAAAGGACCTAATGGTAAAGATTGCAACAACGACACTATTAAAGCCAACCTCTTTAACACATTCTTTGACTCAGTATTTGTAAACAACAATGGATCATGCCCAGTATTTCCTAATCGAACCACAGACAACTACAATGATCTAATACATATCGATTTTACAGAAGACAATGTTGAAAAAGCACTATGCACTCTAAAACCATCTCTATCTATTGGACCGGACGGAATAGGTGCATACTTCTTAAGAAAGCTAACCACTGCCATAGCCGAACCTCTAAGCATAATCTTTGAAAAATCTTTCAGGACCAGCTCCTTGCCAAAACTATGGTCACAAGCCACGGTCATTCCCATCTTCAAAAAGGGAGACCCCATCCTAGTTGAAAATTACAGACCAATCTCCTTATGCTGCGTCACCTGTAAAGTCGTGGAATCAATTATTATCCAATCCATCATCCTCCACTTAGAAACAAACAACCTACTCTCTAATAAACAATCTGGTTTCAGGAAGAAACTATCATGTAATCTGCAACTCTTACACTGCAAAAACATATGGACTACACAACTCGATCAGGGCAAAGCAATAGACTCAATCTACATAGACTTCTGTAAAGCCTTTGATTCAGTGGTACACGACAAACTACTCCTAAAACTAAAATTTTACAGTATCTCTGGACACCTACATAACTGGATTGAAGCATTCCTGTCAAACAGACAACAAATGGTCAAAATTGGGAGCGTCCTATCAAATTCTGTACCTGTCAACAGTGGTGTCCCCCAAGGCAGTGTTCTAGGACCAACTCTTTACATAAATGACCTCTGTGATCATATTAAGAGCAACTGTGTTCTCTTCGCTGATGATGTAAAGCTATTCAACACCACAGACAATACTGCTACCCTTCAAAAAGACCTTGACCATGTATCAGAATGGTCAAGCAAATGGCAACTTCAAATCTCAACAAATAAATGCTCTGTCCTACATATTGGCAAAAATAAATAAATCAGAAAATAAAATACAGGCTGAATAGTCAAGACCTTGTTGATGATCCAAACTCTGTCAAGGATCTTGGAGTACTCATCTCTAATGACCTAAGTGCTAGAGGCCACTGTAACTACATAGCCAAAAAGGCATTAAGAGTTTTTAACCTAATCCTACGTAGCTTTTTCTCTGGTAATATTACACTAATAACTAGAGCATACAAAACATTTGCTAGACCAATACTCGAATACAGCTCATCAATCTGGAACCCACATTATGTATCTGATATTAACACAGTTGAGAAAGTCCAGAAATATGTCACAAGAGTTCTCTACTCCTCTACTCGTTGTAGAATACCTTATGCCACCAGACTCGAAATTCTAGACCTAGAAAACCTAAAACTACGCCGCCTTCGGTCTGATCTAAGTATAGTACATAAAATCATACATTGCAATGTCCTACCTGTCAATGAATACTTCAGCTTCAACCATAACAACACAAGAGCAAACAATAGATACAAACTCAAGGTGAATCGCACCAAACTTGATTGCAGGAAATACGACTTCAGCAACAGAGTGGTCAATGTCTGGAATACTCTACCTGACTCTGTGGTTTCTTCCCCAAACCCCAAAAACTTTAACCTTAGACTGTCTACTATTGACCTCACCCTTTTCTAAGAGGTCTATAGGGGGCGTGCGTAAGCGCACCAACGTGCCTACCGTCCCTGTCCTATTGTTTCTTTTATTTTTTATTTTTCTTATATATATCCATGTATTCATAACTATGTTTTTACTTATACCTATTATCTTGTAAGCAATTGACAAAAATAAATAAAAAAATAAAATAAATAGAAACTATGAAGACGAAAATACCTTACCCATTTTCCTTTGTCTCCAGCTCATCAAACCACTGTATTAGAGCAACTGCAGCTTTGTACATATCTGGGTGTATCAGTGGGTCCTCATTAATTTGAAGAGGAATCTAGAGACGAAAAAAAGAGGAAAGTAAAGTCATTACTGGCATTCTTGCTCTACATAAGCCATTCCTTCGCTGTAGGCAATGGAATAGAAATAAATATGCAAAGAGCAAATTCTGAAAGAATGTGGCTGAGGACAAAGAATAAGATGTTACAGTTGATTTGTTAATACAGTATTTTCCCATCCAGAATACAGGTAGTCCTCGACTTACAACCAGAACTGAACCCAAATTTCTGTTGTTAAGTGAGATACTTGTTAAGTGCATTTTGCCCCATTTTACGACCTTTCTCATCATAGTTGTTAAGTGAATCACTGCAGTTGATTAGTTAAGTAACCTGGTTGTTAAGTGCATCTGGCTTTCCCATTGACTTTGCTTGTCAGAAGATCACAAAAGGCGATCACATGATCCTGGGACACAGCAACAGTCACAGCAACAGTCATAAATAAGAACCAGTTGCCAAGCATCTAAATTTTGATCACATCATGGGGATACTGCAGAAGTCGTAAGTGTGAAACTCACATTTTTCAGTGTCATTTTAACTTTGAACAGTCACTAAACGAACTGTAGTAAGTTGAGGACTACCTGTATATTGGTGAAGAAGGGTACAGAATAATTTCTAAGGGCTGCTTCATGTGATATGCTTTTGCCACATTAAGGATGTTGCCACAATGCCTCAAGTGGGTTTATTTTGCATAAATAAACCAGGTAAGGTAGCATGAGAAAGGAAATTTCATCTCGTGGGGCTTGCTGGAACAAAGGATAGTTAAAAGGTGCATGTGACTTTAAAAGCTTGTTTTAGCTCTGTTACACCATACCCCCAACACAACTTGCTTTCCACTGTTCTTTTCACAATATCAGGCTCAAGGCCTGATATTATATTCATATAATCAATTGTCATTTGCACCAGGATTTCTGAATTCATTCTGTCTGTTCTACTGTGACTTCATTCCTATCTTTTACAATTGGAAAACCATCATTTAATCAAGCTGAAATGCAAAGCCTTCTTTTCCAAGCAAACCTCCTTTAAAACTGCAGTGGAGCTGTAGAGCAAAAACCATCATCTATAGCAGTGGTTTTCAACTTTCCTAATGCCACGACCCTTTAATACAGTTCCTCATGTTGTGGTGACCCACCAACCATAAAATTATGGCTCGGTTCCTAAGACCATATGTGTTTTCCAATGGTCTTAGGCGACCCCTGTGAAAGGGTCATTCAACCCCCAAAGGGGTTGCAACGCACAGGTTGAGAACCACTGATCTATAGCATCCTAATTTTCATTCTCAATTAAGGAAAGAAAAAGGTGGCTACTAAGGAAACAGATCGGGTGGGGGGTGGAAGAGAAATACACAGCAGCCAGATTTTAAAAAAACATTATGAGGATGAAATTCACATAATTGAAAGAAAAAGTATGCCAGGAACCCAAAATTCCTCCTCTCCCATTCACAAGGATGCCAGGGTTGGAGAATGCCTGTTAATCTATCCTTGAGGCAATTGCACATTTGACAGATCTAACCCAACAGCAAAAGGTCATCCAGTAAACATCCTGGTTATTTTTACAGTTGTCAACCCATCACCAACAATCTTTCATAAATGTCAGATACTATTAAACTTTCCCTCCTGACACTATCCATTGAAGCTGACACATAATTGACAAAACCCTATCGAAGGGTTTCTATTCTTTTAATGTGTATTCAAACCTATTCTCTCTGCCTAGAACACAGAGTCAATCATAATCTCTCATTGCCTCCTGTAATTCCTAACACATAACTTTATAACTATTCATCAATTATCTGGTGTGATGCACCATTCAACTGCATCATACTAGATGAACCCCTATAAGAGAATTTTAAAAAATAGCCATTATAACTTGTAACTGGCATATCTTGCTCAATGAATTCAGATTTATTTATTTCTTCAACTTTAATGGCTATCGTTTATTCAAGAAATCCTGGTTGAAACAGTGCATGACATATAGCACGTGTATGAGCTCGAGTACTGATAGTATGGAATCTCATTAGATTTACAACCAGTAGGATTTCAAAACTGGAGGAGCAATGGCTCAGTGACTTAATAATATTGGAGATAGTCTTTGCTCCAATGGTTTGAGTCATAGCACTGTATGGCAGGGTGCCTCAGCTTCTCCCTCCTATGGCGCATCTTGGGAAGTGTGCAAGTGTGTCCAACAACAGGGCTGGTACCTTGGCAAGCCAAACTATTACTCTGCACTTGCATTGTGGTCTCTGGCTACTGTAACAAAGCCATACGCTAATAATAATAATTTCAAAACTGATTGGGAAAATTCTCTATTTCAATCATCTCTCCTATCTAAATATTTTAGATAAAAAATCTGGATTCTCATTTTACTGATCTCGTGATGGAAGGCTGAGTCAACCTTGAGCTCAGTTAAGATCAAATTCCAGGCTATAGGCAGGGTTTGCCTGCAGTACTGCATTGTAAGCCCTGAGCCAGCAGAGCTCCTCCTTCCAGATATCCAATGAGAAATAAAACAAAGTTAGTTATTCCATACCTTAATGTGACTAAGGACAGGCTTCAGATCATCCAGATAATATTCGTCAATCGCATGAGGTTTTCCTTCCACTTGAAATACATAGGCTGGATACAACTTGTTGCGAACTGGTAGTGCAAAATAGTTGGCAAACTCTTTACAGTCAATAGTTGCAGACATCAGAATTATCTTTAAAAACAACAACATACACATTTTAGAAGGTTCAGGCCAGGCAACAGCAAATTTTAATTGCCCAGAACATGTTTTCCTCTTGTCCAAAAAGTTAGATACATTTGAGTTTGCCAATATCTCACAATATGTTAGAAAATGTCAAGTTTACTTCCTGGAGTGGTTTAGAGACATATGTGGACATGTATCTTATTGATTGGTGCTACAAAAAGTGAACTACAACAATGAAGTACAATCCAGAAGGATGTTTTATTTTTTGACATCAAGTATTTTGAGAGCCAGTCCAGTGTAGTTGTTAAGGCAGCAAAGCTAGAAACTGGGGGACTATTAATTCTTACATAAGGTACAAAGCCAGACTGGACCAAGTCATTTTTTCTCAACTCAAGGAAGACAACAAAGGAAAATCACTTCTGAAAAAAATATCATCAGAAGTCAAATTGACTTGAAGGAACCAAGAAAAAAAATCTGTTTATTTTTCAGGTCCTGCGCATATCTATAATCCAAAACTATAAATTTGCATTATTTCTATCTTTACGAATCCTTTTAGCTTCATAAATTTGTAATACTTCATACAATGATCAATCTCAAGTATGGATAACAATTTACTAATTACTAATTCACATTTTAAAACTGCAGTGTTCTTTTTTATTAACAAACTTAATGAAATTGCATAAATCATATTATGTGTGAAATAGGCCACATATAATGCTGCCTCCATCTATTGTATTAAATCATAATCTACCATTTCCAAATCTTGTTTAAGAAGTTTGCCTAGGCAAGATGAAATAAATCACATTAAGACTTAGGGGGAGGCATGAATCTATCCAAAGTATCAAACTTTGGATATATAAAGCAGGAAAACATTGAGGTGAATGGAGCACAAGTGATAGGAATAAATACCAATTTAATAAATAAAATAAATAAAAATAAATCCAAATCTAGTCCATTCCTCAAACCTCCTACATACGAAAATGAAGTTTTTTATTTTATCTGCAAATATAAAAATGCAGGCTTGTGACTGCACTCCACCCTCCCATACACTCTTCAATTTGGTTCTTATAATCCAAGCAACATCACATAAAATAAATTTTTCTTAATAGTTTGTATGTGATTTTAGTCATATCTTTCAAATTTAAAAATGAAATATATACCGTGTTTCTCCAACAATACGGCCTCCACCAATAGGAAGGCCCAGCATGATTTCTAGGCATGAGGTGAAATTAAGCCCCGCCCCTCAAAATTTAGGCCTATTTAAACCATGCTTTCCCCCGCCATTTCTCACATCGTTCATTAGAACTACACGAGATGAAGAGAAATGGGCGGGGGAAGCGCGGGGGGGATGGGGAGAAAACTTGCCTTTAGGAGTGCCCTGCAGGTAGCCTAGGCTAGAATACCCCAATAGCCGATAGAAGCTCCCTGAAGGCAGAGTCCCCAGCCGCTTCAGGACGTGGCGTGGCTACCCATGCCCCTCGCCTTTAGGGCAGTCTCTTTCGGGCGATGGAAGCTCCCCAAATGCAGTCACCAGCCACTTCAATCGGCCGGTAGAAGCGGCCTCGGGGCGAGCACACACACTCCCCTCGCCGCGAGGCCACTTCTTTCGGCAGACGAAAGCTCCCTTGAAGGTAGAGTCCCCAGACGCTTCTGGGTGAGGCGGGGCTGCCCATGTCCCCTCGCCTTTAGGCAGTCTTTTTCAGGCGATGGAAGCTCCCCAAATGCAGTCACCAGCCACTTCGATCGGGCGGTAGAGGGGACATGGGCAGCCACGCCTCGCCCTGAAGCGGCTGGGGATTCTGCCTTCAAGAGAGCTTTTGTCTGCCAATAGAAGCGGCCTCATGCCGAGGGGAGTGTGTGTGTGTGCACGCTCGCCCCGAGGCCGCTTCTACCGGCCGATCGAAGTGGCTGGTGACTGCATTTGGGGAGCTTCCATCGCCCGAAAGAGACTGCCTAAAGGCGAGGGGATACGGGCAGCCACGCCACGCCCTGAAGCAGGTGGGGACTCTGCCTTCGGGGAGCTTTCGTCGGCCGATAGAAGTAGCCTCGCGGCAAGGTACATGCGTATGGCCCGCTCTACGTGGGGGAGGAAATTAAGTCACCCCCGAAAAGACGGCCTAGCCGCTTTTTCAGGGGTCAAAAAAAAAATAAGGCCCAGCCTTATTTTGTGAGAAACACGGTATATGAGAAAATATCACAGTGTGGTTGTTTAATATGAATTAGAAGACACTTTCTTATATGTCTAGAATCCGTTCAAAATTTATGTATAGGAAAATGTCATAAAAAATTTTTTTTTGTTTAGGACAGATGATTAAAATCTGAGTGGGTCGTTAAGATGCAACACCTCCGTTTCAGGCCAGCAAATATTTTTAGCTGCTTACTTCATTTTTTATCGGTACCCACCTATATCCCTGGGGTTGTGAACTATCAATGACTGTTGAGGGCCACTGGACAGAGAAAACACCATCCTCTTGTATTTCTTTCACAGTTGAGAGAATAATTTTACAGCCATCAACAAAGCACATTAAACTGTGCATTGTTTTCATTGTTAATGTCACAGTGATCCCTTCAAGCATCTTATGGGCAGAAACCAATGTTTAAAGATGGATGCTCACAAGGGGCGCACTGAACTGTCATGGCTTCCACCTTATTAATGCCAGGGAAAATATCCAGACCTCTGAACTCTCCAGCCAAGGACATTGCCCCCCACAATATAGATGGGGAGGATGGACAACAGGATTGTTTCAGAATAAACTTAGCTGCAACTCTTACATTTAAGTGGATTGAATTTAGTTTTTCAGCAGTTTGGGAACAAGTTAAGCATTAGTAGTAGATGGCAGTGGAGAAAAGACTGAAAACAAATTCAGGAGAGAGAAGAATTTATCTTAAGCTAAAGATTATTTACTTTCTTAAATACAGGGTAATGCTGACCCCAAACATTTTAAGAATAAGGTACATGTATTCTTTGACTTATGACCATAAATGAGCCTGAAATTACAGTTGAATGTCACACCGGTTGTTCAGTAGGTCATCATATAATTGATTTTACATTATTTTTTGTGTTGGTCATTAGGCAAATGTTGTGATTATCAAATAAACACTGTGGTTGCTAAGCAAATCCACTGTTTACAATGGGGATTTAGGTATGTATTTTTTTGCTAGAAACCAAAGGTTAATGCCAATTTCCACCCACCCCAAAAAACTCCATTGTAAATCATGGTCACAGGACACTGCAAACAGCTATATATATGGATTGGTGGAAAGAGCACCCAAAATGCAATCATGTGACTGAGGAGAGGTGTGTGATATCAGAATTTCGAATCTGGGTTGTATCTTTTGGGGGGTCCATAGTAAATTTGAACAGTTGCTAAGTATCTGGTTGTTAAGTGAGGACTACCAGTATTTAGCTTCTTTGTGAACGAGAAAAATATTGAAAGTATGTACATCAGGGCTGTCAAACTCGTAGTCCACGGACCAGATGCATTACATGCTGGCCAAGTCACGCCCGGTTTAGCGAAGGGGGGTAAAGTCCAATACATCATGTGACACCACGAGTTTGACATCCCTGATGTACATGATCAAAAGCAATGAGGACTTTCTACAAACAGCTGCCTATATCCTATTGGTAAATGTTAGTAACAACAGAAACTTAAGAACTTTTCCAACAACTGTGGTAAAGTATCACTGTATTACTGAATAAACCTTGAAATTGTCAGTTACCTTCACAAATCGTGAATTTGTTCGCAGCAGTTTACGGATCACCAGCAGCAAAAGATCCATATCTTCTGTACGCTCATGTATCTAAAACATTATTTTAAAAGATGAGACAACTCAACTTGAAATGAGTTTACAAATAGAGGCACATGGATTCTAAGATGAACTACTAGAAAACAGCAGGCTCTCAACAGTTATATAAAAGATGGTACACAGTGAAAAACCTTTGCTGAAATACACTTAATGACCTAAATAAGAGAGTTACAATTGAAAGAGCTAAACCAGACATGTATGCCCTAAGGCCTCAGGGGTATTGTACAGTTTTTAAAAGTTTTGAATGTGGTCCTAAAATCTCCCAGCAACATCTATCAAATTTTAATTTTGAATTTTTGGAGGGGATATAACATACATGATTGATGAGTAATTATATTAATTTTACTGCAATAAATATTAATGTAATTCTAACTAAATCAAATAGATTTTGTCCAGGCTATACACTCTTCCTTTCAGAATAGGCTTATACAAGATGACTGTCCTCTGCTCTTGAGATATGTCTCTCCCTGATGAACTAACTTACTCATATTCAAACTTAATTGGTCCTATATATTCTAATGACAATTGTATTGAAATGCTGGATCCAATCACTGTGATTAATGATGATAAAGGCCAAAAAAGCCTACACTTACTTGCCTTTTATACTATGCAATATTGTGTGTGTGTGTGTGTGTGTGTGTGTGTGTGTGTATGTACCGTGTTTCTCATATAATAAGGCCGGGTCTTTTTTTTTTTTTTTGAGCCCCGAAAAAATGGCTAGGCCATCTTTTCGGGGGTGACTTAATTCCCCCCCCCCCTTGCATCTTCGGGCGGGTGGGCAGTGACGGCTTGGATGTTGACCTTGGCGTTGGTGGGGCACTTCGTATCAAGGTCAACGCAGGCAGCACCATATCCGGGTGTGCAACAAAAGTACTTCCTAATGGCAAGCCCCCCCACCATTCCCCCCCATTTTGCATGTTTTAATATAGGCCTTAATTTGGGGGGAGGGGCTTAATTTCATTTCATGCCTATAAAACATGCTGGGACTTCCTATTGGGGGAGGCCGTATTGTTGGAGAAACAGGGTATATGTATAAGTATATATAAATAAATAAAACTGATAGGCTTAATTTGGTAGAACAGGGCAACACTACCAATTCTCCAAAAACTGTCAGGGGGCTTGATCTAGCCACTAAATTTAGCATTGTAATCACTTCAGACTACTTTGGAAAAGTCAAACAGCCAGGCTCAACTATTCAAGTAGAAAACTAAACCAAGATTTTTTTTAAAAAAAAAACTGGGTTCAGGACAATTATAAACCACATATCTTGAAAACTGCAGAGAGATGCCAGATATAACTCACCATAAGAAAATTAATCCTTGATTTATGATTGTTCATTTAACAACGGTTCAAAGCAATGACAAAAGAAACACTACACTGGCCCTTGCAGTTATGATTGTCCCTACTGTCACATGCTCGCAATTCAAGCATTTGGCAACTAGTTTGCATTTATGACGGTTGCAGCATCTTGCAGTCACGTGATCATGATATGCAACCTTCCTAGACAGCTTCTGGCAAGTAGCATTGGGGAAGTCAAGATTTGTGTAATGACTGTGATTTATTTAATAACTGCAGTGATTTGCTTAATGACTGAAGTAAGTATGCAGTAATGTGATGCATCACTTAGGAACCGAAATTCCGGTCCTAACTGTTATCCTAAGTCAAGGACTACACATATTCCAAAGAAATGGGAATTTATTCCTAAGGCATTAATGTCCCAAAGCTTTTTGAAAAGGCAACTGGACTTTGTTTTTCCTTGAAGGCATTTCGCTTCCCATCCAAGAAGCTTCTTTAGTTCTTGCATGAGAAGCAAAACATATTCAAGGAAAAACGAAGTCCAGCTGCCTTTTGAAAAAGCACCTTTGGGACAACCATAACCTAGATGACTGAGAATCTCCCTAGACATTAATGCTTTTACTGCTTAAGCAAATGTTATATAACAATGGTGGCTAACCTTTTGGGGCTCCTGTGCCAAAAATAAGGAGAAACTTTCTGACAGTGAAATCAACCAATGGAACAGCTTGCCCTCGGAAGTTGTGGGAGTGCCATCACTTGAGACTTTCAAGAAGAGATTGGACTGCCATTTGTCAGAAATGGTGTAGGGTCTCCAGCTTGGGCAGGAGGTTGGACTAGATAACCTGCAAGGTCCCTTCCTACTCTGATTATCTGTTATCTGTTAAATTGTGCGTGCGCTTGCACTCTCACGCATCAGCACCCAGAAGGCAATGTGCACCCCCCATGCCCCCTACGCATGCGCACAATCCACACCCACCGCCCCCTTACCTGCACTGCGCCTCACAGCTGATTTTCGGCCTTCCAGAGGCTTCAGAAAGGCTTCTTCAGGCCGAAAACTAGGCCCGTTTTGTCACTTCTGGTATTTCCTGAAAAACAGGAAGTGATGAAACGGGCCTAATTTTTGTCCTGAAAAGCCTGAAGAAGCCTTCCTGAAGCCTCTGGGAGGCCAAAAAAGGCCTCAAACCAGCCAAAAAATCAGCTGTGACACGCATGCATGCTCAGTGAGATATGTTTGCCTGCAGCTCGCGTGCCGGCATTAATGGCTCTGCGTGCCACTTGTGGCATGCGTGCCATAGGGTCGCCATCACGGTTATATACTGTATATCATTGACAGAACTCTCATGAAGACATCTATAGAAAATATCTGTCATAAAAACAAGGCTAAACATTATTTTATATACTTGTAATCCAAATAAATCAAAAGTATTCAAAATAAACAAGCCAGTTCTAAAGTGATGTTCTACTTTTCTCCAACTTACTTCATCTATGAAGATATGGGTGAACTCCAAAAGACTTTTGGCTCCAACTACTTTCTGCAGGAGGACGCCAGTCGTCATATAAATCAGCTTCGTATTCTTTGTTGCAACTTTTTCTAAACCAACCTGGAAAGATACAGGACATGTTGCATTTATTTAGAAATCAATAGGAAAACTAAGTATCTCTGATAAACTCACCACTACATTTTAAAATGGTGAAGTATTAAATAGAAGCCCCACATTTATTTGAATGAACATCATGGGTTGCAGCAAGTACTGCAATCTCATTTGCTAAAATAATTCCATGATCTTTAAGACATGGTTGAGATTAAATAAAAGGATACAAAATTTATCATGTGATACAATTTTCTAAAAAAAAATTTAAAATTAGCCCAGAGCATTAATGTTGCATTGTCCCTAATTTGTAGCTGATATTATCCATGTTTAAGTTGCTGCCAGTATGTGTCTTCTAAGTTTGTGCTTAATTATTTGTACAAATAATTCCTATTATTTGTATATGGTTTGTACAAATGTACTTCAATATCATGATGTCAAAGACATTTTGCTGCTTAAGGTAGTGACTTCTATTCTTGGAAGATTTCCCAGAATATCTTATGAAAATGTAAAACAAGATTAAATTATAACAAAACAATGCATAATGCATTAATAAAACATTGGAACAGAAGCATTTTAAATGTCTGATTAAAGACAAATTCAGAAGAAACTATACAAACGTATTTACAAAGAAAATATAAAAACATGAGCTCAGTTATCAACCTGGAAGATCTTAACAATAGACTACAAAAAGGATAGGATTTACTAGTGGAAGGATTCCAAGGAACCTCAACCATAAGCTTGGATCCAAAACACCAAGAGCACAGATCCAATGGTGGTTGCTCAATGGACAAAAGACTAGACAGATTGAATTTCTCATCCCTCCTTCAATCTCAAGACCCACTCTCAAGAGTTGATAACTGTTTAGACCAAATTTGGACAAAGAAAAATGATGGGAAAGTAGACACCTGTTCCACTTACACAATCTTGTGCTTTGACTAACGTCTTTTCTACAAAGGTATGTTTCTAATTTTAGTACACCCCAGAGGCTATGAAAGAAATTAACTATCTCTTACAGCACAGGAAATGAATTTTAAAAGGAGGGGGTAAGTAAAATCTGAATGTGATTTCCACCTCAGAGACATCATGCGATCCGGAGTAACACACTGCTCTACCTGATAGCCCACAAGTTCACCCAAGGGCCACGATCTCTGCTTGCTAATCCATCTTGCAATGCTGCTGGCACCAATTCTCCTGGGCTGTGTAACTACAATGTTACAATAAATAGAGTGCTGCCCACAGTGATCCAAAACATACTGTGGAATTTGTGTGCTTTTGCCACTACCAGTAGATCCATGTACAATTACCACCGAGTGGTTTTCTATCAATGAAAGAATCTGAAATTTTAAAAAAAATGTTATTAAAAGGATGAGAGACCCAAATTTTAAAATATTTTTGCAGTTCTGCCTTTTTTATGCCTTACCACTTTCTTTCAGTCTTAAAAATTCTGAATTTGTCTTTTCTATATTTTCTGTAGAAAATTCTTGTCAGCGTACCTTTACTGTTTCCCAAACTGCTTTGTCTCACTTTTTAGCCCCCTCCACTTCTATCATATTTGGCTGCCTACCACAAACAATTATTTTCAATTATCATTTCTCCTCTTTTGCTGACCCAGCTGCTAGGCATTCTCCTCTAGAATATCTACATCAGGGGTGTCAAACACAACACCCGGGAGCCGGAGCTGGCCCACAGGGTGCTTAGATCTGGCCCATGGCCGCTCTGGAGACAGCAAAGGGCAAAGGCCTGCAGTGCCTTTAGCCAGCGAAAACAGAGCTGAGGAGAGCCGCATCCAGCCCTCCCAAGCTCTGTTTTTGCTGGCAGAGGGTTGCAGGAGGCCATCACAGCCGAAAGCGCTCAGGCCATCACAGGTGCCCCCGACATGAATAATGGCGAGCTGGCCACACCCACCCCAGCCCCCCAAGGTCATACATAACCCTGATACAGCCCTCAATGAAATTGAGTTTGACATCCCTGATCTACATCAAGAGCAAGTCTCCAAATATTGTTAAACCCCAACTGTGGTTTTTTTAAAGTCCACACTTTTAAGTCATATTCCACAAAATCTTTGTTTATATATGAATTTCCTTTTATTCTCCAATCTACTTTAGACAATACACATATTTAATTTATGAGGCATCCCTTAAATTGCTGGAGTACAATCAGCAGAAGTTTACTGTATTGTTAAATTCATTTTCCATTAAAACAAACATATATTAAAAAGGACACAATACACTGGATAATTTTTTAAGTAAAATGCCTGGCAAGTACAAGATAATAGCCCTACTGCCTTATTGTATGGAATACAGTTCTTTTTCCATAGTAACTCCATGCTTCTGAATAATTTCTTTCAGAAGTTATTGAAGTGTGAATAACTGTGGCAACATTATCCAAACTAAAGAAAAGATTACCAATGTCACATCAATGCTGCTGAAGAAAAGCCACATATATCTCTTGAATTTGTGGCATATTAAGCAACACTTTGGGCTCTGAACTTGTTATCTTCTGAGGCAGTCAATTTCCCATGCAAAATAGGGTGAACAACAAACCCAGTTAGCCTAATGTAAACTTATATTTATGCAGACCAGCTTGAAAGATTGAAAAATAAAGTTAATTCAGCATCACAAAAACCATTAATGGACAAAATCAAAAGAAATCAAAGAAAAGTGATGGTACAGGGGGGAAGAAAGACCTAACACATTTTAGTTATGATTTACAAATAAATTGGTAACCTCTTCCTTGTATCTTGAGATGGGCAAATCAGGGTATTTGTAATCGCGATCTGGTATGTAAGTCACCAAAGTAGATTCATGCTGAGATGATCCTGGAGACACAAATGAAGAGATCAGAAATGCAGGTTCTTCAAAATACTGTACTCAGAGACCACAAAATCCAAGTTTCCACAGATCAGGTCAGCAGTAAATACTGAATACAAATTAGCACAAGATTGTACAACCACCAGAGTTTGCATCACTTCTGAATGACTGCCTGTTTTCTAATTCTTAATATCTAAACTATTCCTTCAACTGTGCATAAGATCTACAGTTGGCTCTATCACAAGCAGCATTCAGAAACATGAAGAAACCTGCTTTTGGCAGGAATCATGTAAGAGGATGAAAAGAAATGAAAGCAAGAACTAGTATCTCAGTGATCTAACTGAAATTTCTTCTCATTCATGTGCGCCATTCATATTTTGCTATTTCTTTCAAGCACCTGAAATTATGAATTTAGAAAGATAACAGATGCTCTAGTTTACACAACACATTAAGCCGTAATGTTATTTATTCTTAATGTGCTCTGTGGACTCAGCAACGCAGTTAATACATTTTTATTTATTTATTAATTTACAGCAATGTAAAGCCCTAGTTGCCAGCTCTTTAGCAGCTCTTGATCCTCGTACACATTGAATTCTTCCCAAGTACCTAGTATGTCATAATATGTTGGTATAGTATATGTGCAGATCCAAGCAGTAAGGCCTATTGCAATTGACAGAGAAAATTTTGTCAGTGCACAGATTTTTTAATTGACGTCCAACACTCTTTGATATGGCACTTATTGTTATCCAGAGGTAGGATTCAACTGGTGTTACTACCGGTTTGGTGATTCATTTTGCACACGTGATAAACCTTAGGCCGTGCCACCTGGACAACTGGTGAGCACTGTGCGCAGGTGTACAGCATTTCAAAAGCCACTTTTTTTACTGCTTTTTCAACCTCAGCTGTGCCGCACAAAGCAGCTGAGGTTGAAAAAGCAGGAAATAAACGACACGTAAAAGCCCGGGTGGGCCAAACAGCAGCAGACACAGAACCAGTTCGGTGTCTATTGCTCTTCAGAGCTATCAGTTCTATAGAGCCAAGCAGAACCGGTAGCATCCCACCCCTGTTGTTATCTTCTAAGAATAACAAAGTATAAAGAATCAACAAAGGAATTATATACTTGGCTTATGTTCTTTGGAAATCTGAATACCCTCTGCCCAACATAAAACCATGTGGGCACTTCCCAAATTTTACTCATCACCTCTAAGCTCCCTTTTTTTACCCCCTTAATCCTTTAATTCGGGGTAGAGTCAGGGCGACTGGTTGGAACTGAGGATTTATTGGTCAGATGCCCTTCCGGATGTCATGCTGAATTCGTGGGAGATATTTGAGACATCTGGGGAGGCGAGCGGCTTCACCATTAGGCCACTATGCCACTGTTTAGTCATCACTTCTGTGTCCTTTAAACCAGAATTCTGCCAAACATTTTTCCAGAACATTTAACAAAATAAATTATCTTGTGTTTTTTGCATTCACTTTTATCAGGGAAATGTTAACATTTTTCCCATCATCAGGCATATGTACAGCATTCAAACACACGTGATACAAATTAGACTGCCACTTTGCAAGCAAACCATGTTAATACAGGTTAGTACAGGTATTTCCCATCATATCATCTATATCTGCAGCCTTACTATCTTTCCACATTCTGGGGGGGGGAGGGAAAGGGGGGGGGGGGGGGGAGAGGGGGAGAAAGACAGAGAGGGCGGGGGAGGCTAGAAAGGCTATTTTGACCCACCATGGCTGAGGCCTTCTTTTATATGGCAAGCTTCTTTTGTAAAAGAAGACCCTGGCTGGCTGCAAGACAATCCCCACGCTGCACTGGTGGTTCTGGCAAGTAAAGCAGTGGCACATAATGAAGTGGATGCAACGGTCGGACAACTAGAAGCAGCAGGTAGGTGGGCAGCCAAAAGGCAATCATATATGTGGGTGGGCCAGATCAGGCCCGAATTTTGGACACATTATCATAGAGGGGCCTACAACAGCCACAAGTCTGAGAAGCAGTAATAAGTCTCTTTATTCAGCACCACCATAACGTTGAATGGCTGCTAAACAAATGGAAGGACTACCTATAATGCAAGTTGGCTAATTTGTATCTCATTCTGTTATACAAGCCCAACAACCAGTATGCTTGTTTCGTGCTTCGGTGTATTAGGCTCTGGCAACTGA